CCTGCCCCCAGGGCTGGCCCTAGCCTGGGAGTGGTTCCCTGCAGCGGCAGGACTTGGCGCTCCCATGCCCTGTCTCAGGCGGGTCCAGGGAGGCAGCAGCTGGGACAGCCCCGTGCTCAGTGCCCCGCTTGGCCATTTCAGGAACCGATGAGCACGGGCTGAAGATCCAGCAAGCGGCGGCTGCGTCTGGGACGTCTCCCCCTGAGCACTGTGCTCACGTGTCCGGCCTCTTCCATGACCTCTTCTCCCGGGCCGCCGTCTCCTTCACCGACTTCATCCGCACCACCGAGCCACGCCACTGCCGGGCGGTGCAGCACTTCTGGACAGCACTACAGGGCCGCGGGATGCTCTACAAGGCCTTCTACGAGGGCTGGTACTGCACACCAGACGAGTGCTTCCTGAGCCAGGCCCAGGTCACTGAGCGCCCTGATGCGCAGGGCCACCCCTGCAAGGTCTCGCTAGAGAGTGGGCATCAGGTACTGCACTGAGCTGCGCTGCCCTCCTCCCTGCCCTGGGCACGCCTGGTGCCTTCCCTATCACCTCGTGTCTCAGCAAGTGAATGGGCAGCCACATTCTCTTCTGCCTTCTCCCCAGGGTTCAGGCCCTGTGCTCCCCGTAGGGGTGTTCACTGCTTCTTTGTGGTACAAAGACACACAAGCAGTTTCAAGAGAAGCTGGAATTTCAAACCTCATTTGCTTATAGGGTTAGATCCATTTGAAATTTGGCATGTCTATTCATGGACAGGAGCACAGTTAATGGTCTAAATTTGTAGTTACAGGGTTCTACCACCTAGAACACTTTATAACACTGTTTTTAACACATCAGCCTTGTAACACACTCTGTGCACAAAACAGAAAAAAATAGCCACATGAATTCCATGTCACTCCATTGTACCTTTTGAGATCTAGCATTCAGCCTGAAGAAAAACTTGTATGTAAAAATTAGAGCTGTCAAACCATTTGAAAAACCCTATAACTGCGAGATTAAAAATATAGTCACAAAATTCAAATCTCACACAATAGTGCAGTCTCTTTATGGTAAAAGCGCAGTTTACAAAGGTACAGCTATAGAGCCTACAAGCTGAAACAGAAAGAGGTATATGAATGTATTATATCTGGTGCACACATACCTTGCCAATGCCAGCTACAACAGTGCCATGTAAATGCCTGTTCTCACTCTTGGGTAACATCGTAAAGAACAAAGCTGTGGGTACCTGTTGTAGAACTGTTAGTGAAGGGTATGGGTTGTAATTAACTTTTCTCTCGCGCTCTCAGGTGCACTGGACCAAGGAGGAGAACTACATGTTCAAGCTGTCTGAATTTCAAGAGCCGTTAAGAAAGTGGCTTCAGGGGAATCGGCATGTCATCTCCCCTGAACCTTTCTACCAGCTGGTGCTCCGGTGGCTGGAAGAGGACTTGCCAGACCTGTCTGTCTCCCGGGAGAGAAGCCGATTACAGTGGGGTATCCCTGTCCCTGGTGACTCAACACAAACCATTTATGTGTGGGTAGATGCCCTGGTGAACTATCTGACTGTAGCTGGCTACCCTGACACACATCATGCCTGGTGGCCAGCTGCTCACCATGTTGTTGGCAAGGACATCCTCAAATTCCATGCCATCTACTGGCCAGCATTGCTCATGGCTGTGGGCCTGGATCCTCCGGAGCAGATCTACGTGCACTCCCACTGGACGGTCCGAGGGCAAAAGATGTCAAAAAGCCTGGGCAACGTGGTGGATCCAGTGGCGTGTTTCACACGGTACACAGTCGATGGCTTTAGGTACTTTCTGCTAAGGCAGGGTGTCCCTGAGCGAGACTGTGACTATTATGAGGAGAAAGTTATTAAGCTGCTGAATTCTGAACTCGCAGATGCCCTTGGAGGGCTTCTTAACCGTTGTACAGCTCATAACATCAACCCCAGTGGGACTTACCCACCCTTCTCAGAGTTGTGTTTTCGAAAGGACTCTGCCCTCACGCCTGGGGAAGCCTCAGGAAGGGCTGTGGCTGAGGACTACCAGCTGGTAGCATCAGTCGCCCACCTGCCCTCCCAGGTGACTCACTATTTTGAACACTTCCAAATATACAAGGCTTTAGAATCCATCACTGCATGTGTGAGGCAGACCAATGGCTTCTTCCAGAGACATGCACCCTGGAAACTCTGCCGAGAGAACCCTGCCGAGAAGCAATGGCTTGACACCATCCTTCATGTCACGCTGGAATGTCTGCGGCTTTACGGGATTCTGCTGCAGCCAGTCATTCCAGCCCACGGCAGACAAGTTACTTTCCAGGCTGGCTGTTCTGCCAGAGGAAAGGGCTCTCTCAGACGTGGCCTTTCTGCCTCATCATTCCAGCCACGGCAGACAAGTTACTTTCCAGGCTGGCTGTTCTGCCAGAGGAAAGGGCTCTCTCAGACGTGGCCTTTCTGCCTCGCTACCATGGGAAGCTGTGTCCCTTTGAGGGAAGACAGCTTGGCCCTGACACAGGGCCCTTGTTTCCCAGACTGGAAATGCCAAGAAGGCGTCAGTTGGAAACCAAGGGGCCGTAGACTTTTACAAATCACTGCTGAGAATAAAACCCTCAGGAACACGCAGGACCTGGGTCTCTGTTGAAGAACGTGTTGAAAAGGAGTCAGCAGGATCAGGCATCAGCTGGGTGCGTCTCATGCAGCCCCCTCCTGGCTGGGATGCCCTTTAGTAAACTGCGAGGCCTGACTACCTGAGTGCACAGGAGCCAGGCCTGTGTGTGGGGGTGGGGGCTGAGTGGCTGCTGGCCTTTTCTAAATAATATATGGACTCTCAAAAGAGAACCCCGCCCCACTCTCACCTCCTTAGTTCCTTTTCTACCCTGTCTGCCTGGTTCACTAACAGCTGCCTGTCCCTGAGTGGCCTGTCCTCCTTTGGGATGAGACACCCCCTACTACCTAGAGCCCTGTGGGGGCGCTCAGACGTGCTGGCTGACTTAGAGGGGCAGGGATGGGGCAGTGAGGAGTACTGAGGTTGCTGCCCAACCTGGTAGCCAGTTCTGCACATAAGGCCTTGTGCTGGGCTCAGGGCCTTTGCCTACTAGTGCTAGTGGGGATGGCTGCCAGAGGCGCTGCTGAGGGCTGGAGAATGTTAAGCCGCTTTTGTCCTCTCCTACAGTGGCCTCTATCTGTTGTCTCTGGGAGCTTCCTCCTGCCAAGGGGTTAGGGGTTGCAGCTGGCTTGTTACAGCTGAAGGGGGCGGACAGGTGGGGGCACATGCAGCATAGCTCTCTGAGTTGTGGGATGTGATGCTGTGGGGGGATGCAACTCATGAAACTACTCTGGGGCAATTGCTCATGTGCCAGGCAGGATTGTAGCGTGCTGTCCCTCCTGCTGTTTCTGTGCTCTGGGTGGGTGGCTAGGGTTGGAGGAACACTGGCTTCCAGTGCTGTCTGTGTGGATCATGCCTCTGCTCTTAGCCTTGGCCAGGCACTGTTACTCCTGGCAGACGCTATGGCTGCTAAGAACCAGTGGCCCAGCCAGAGGCCCAGATTGCACTTCGTGGCCCTCTCCTCCCGGTCCTGCAGGGGTGGCCAGAGCCTGGTTCCTCCCAGCTTGGTCACAGCCCTGCCTCCCAGGACAGCCCAGAGTGCATTCCCGCAGGGCTCTCCTGGAGCAATATGGCATGGCTCTGGCTTGCCCAGGAAGCACAGAGAACGCATCAGGCCGCGTGGCACATCCAGGCACTCGGAAAGCGGCCATGAGCCAGCTCCGCACTCGTACTTGGAGCAGGGGGAAGTGACCGCAACTGGTTACCAAACCCCAGCTGTACTTCTGGCAATGCCAGGCCCTTGGCTGCCATCCCCTCAGCCTGCCACATGCACTGGAACAGTGCCCGATGGACGGGGCCTGGGCATGTGAATGCTCGTGGGCTGGGGCAGTCATGGAAAGAATGGGGGGGGGGTATTTGGCCCCTTTGGCCCCTTTTCATGAGGGAGGTGGCTTGCTGCAGAGTGTCACAATTTGGGGACACCCTGCAGCTGTCTCTGGCTATCCAGCACTTAACTGTATTGTTTCTTGGCTCGATGGCAGCAGCTTGCTTTGGGGGTGCAGGGACTTCTGCAGCCGGCCTTGCCTTCCACCCCCTGGCAGCCACCCAGGAGCGGCAGCCAGCACGTATTGAAGAAAAGACAGAACTATGTGGCACTTTAAAGACTAACACCTAATAAACCATCTTGTTAGTCTTTTAAAGTGCCACATAGTGCGGCTGCGTCTCTGTCACTATTCAGCACGGACTGAAGACCTGGATCCACCTAGCCACCTGCGAAATGGCCTCTTCTCACAAGAGAAAGGGGGGCTGTGGGCAGGGTGCTTGAGGGGCTGCCTCCACCATCTCTCTCTCCCCATCCTGCAGTTGAGTGCTCACCTTAGGGCACCTGTTCTGGCTTTTGGGAAGAGGGGGACCCCTCATTGGTTGTCACAGGCATGGCCACACCGTAGCACCACCTGCTGGCTATGCCTGGATTTACAGTGCTTCCTACATTTCTGCTCACCAGTTTTCCATCTCTGGGAGAGTCACATGGCTCAGCCCTCAGGTAAAGTCCAGACCCAACAACAAAGGTCCCAAACCAACGAAAGGTTCTGCCATCCCACTTGGGCTTCTCTTCAGCCCACCTCTGAGCTTGGCCTCTCCTGGGAAGCACTGGGTCCTTCCAGACTACTTCCATAGGAGCCCAACTTGCTCCTTGTGCTTCCCGTCACAGCCTCCCTCCAGCCAACAAAGTGGGTTTTACCCACGAACGCTGAGGCCCAACAAATCTGCTAGTTTTTAAGGTGCCCCAGGACTCCTGGGTTTTTTTTTGTTTTTTTTTTTTTACAGAATTGAAGAGTGAGGGGATGGGATATAAAAATGCAGAGGATGGGTTCTTGTCCAGTGGAACACCTACCTCACTGTGCCCTACAAGCATATGCCAGTGCACCAGTAGCTGCTCTGTCCAGTCCTTATTGGGCTCATTGTATAACTAGACCCTTCTTGTACCTGCTGGTTAAGTGAACCCTTTGGCTCTCAGGGTAAGTCTACACTGCAGTGAAACCCACAGCGCTGAATCCCAGAGCTTGGGTTGATTGCAGGGGTGAGCAAGATGCGGCCCTGCAGCCCTCTCCTCCAGGACCTTCTGGCAGGGAGCAGCCATAAGCTGCTCAAAGCAACTGGCTGCTCCCTGTGCCTCTCTGTGTCAGGCTTCACGCTCCTCCCCTGCCTCCAACACAATCCCTCTGGGTGGCCCTTGCTGCACCCCCTTCCCCTGCAGGCACCAGTCACCCTGCTCTGGGACTTGTCTTGAAGTGGAGATGTAACCGTTCCTCCACCTTCAGGGTGTAACCTGGAGCCCAAATCTGCAATAAGCTCCCCTGGGGTGGCTAGAATCCTCTCTGTATTTCCGTTGCACCCTGCCCAAGGGAGGGACTGGAAACTTCTAAATCCCTGGCTGTTGCTACTAACAAAGAATCCCTCAAAACATTTTCTCCTAGCCCCTTGCTAGATGCACTGGCTTTAGCAGCAGCATTTTCTGTGCTGCAGTCCCCCTGAGCCTGCTCTGAATGCGTTTCCAGTCCTGGCCAGGAGAATCCGCCTCCCAGCTGCAGCCATGACTACTAGCCGGGCTCTAGCTTGGTTTCCTTGACTACAGGGAAGGGTGTTGGAGCCATTCACTGAGCCAGGGTGGAGGGGGAAGGGCTGCAGCACAATCCGGCCAGCAGCGTTGGCAGTGCAGTGTGCATGCATTGCTCTGGGCAGTCACGCTAGGCCCTTGGGCAGCAGTCACAGCTCTGCTCTGCCAGTGCTAATAGCCAGCAGCTGCTGTGTCCCTCCCACCCCAACATACTGTGGAGGAGGGACTGGCTGGTGGGGAACGGAATAGGTGAGGGAGGGGTGAAGGAGCACTAACGAAGGCCCCGGGACCCAAGATAGGGCAATGGAGGATGAAAGCACAGGTCTTGTCTGCGCTCAGCTTTGCCTCCTCTCCGGCCAGTCGTGCAGGCCGGCAAGGTCCCTGGGAGTCAACTCTGTCATGTCTGCGGTCACAGGGCCCTTAGAAGTTTTGGTGCTCCATGCAGCTCCCCATAGGGGGGACATGCTCCACTGCGGGGTCAGGAGCTGTAGGGGGCTGGCCCAGAGCTGCAGGGGCAGGGAGGAGACAGGCAGCCCCTCATGGGGCTGCAGTGGGAAACAGAGTAACCTCATCCCAGCCCACTCTGCTTACCGCTTGGGGGAGGGAGGGGAACTAGGGTGAGGAGTGGAACGGCTCCCTGTACTCACTGATGGGGGGTAGTGAGCGGAGTGGGAGGATTGTTCCTGGCCCCGGGGGGCAGGCGGGGGGATGTGGCTGGCTGCCAGAGCCAGCGATGCCCCATGCCAAATTCCCCAATGTTGTGATGCCCTACGTGGCTGTATATTTGGTGTATTGGTCGGGACAGCCTTGCTGCAGTGGCAGTGTGCAGGAGTGAAGATAGGCCACTTTCTGGATGTGGAGTAGATCCCCAGCGTAGGCAAAGACAAGGAAGGAGCAGACTGGGGGCTGGGCCACACCCGCAGTACTGCGCCTGGGGGAGACACTCCACACCGATGGACGAGTGCTCTCTTGGCAGCCTCGGGAAGATGTGGTAGCTGTGTCGGCGGGGGAAGCTCTCCCTGGACAGAGAGGTCCACACCGGCACTTAGGCTAGTATTACGTATGTTGCTCAGGGTATATAAGCCACACCTGGAAGTGACATAATTCCACCCTGAGCAACATCAGTTAGATTGATCTAAGTGGTTGGGGTACAAGCCCACAGATACCCTCTGGGACAAAGTGGGAATTTTCTGTAATATTTTTATGCCTGTGCGTGACTCGGTTTCCCTATGTGCCTGCAGTGCTAGGTGCAAAAGGGTAAAAACCCGCTCTTGGAGCGGAACAGGAGCCATGAGGTTTTGTGTCATGTAACTGTCTGGGGTGGAGTTACTGGGTTGTTAAAGGTCTGGCTGAAACTGACCTATGTCAAGGCCAGGTCCACAAAGACAATGGGACTGAAGCACTGATCCTGATCCGGGGACACTCTGGCCAGGTGGAACTCAGTAGGGCTCTGCAGGTGCTGGCAGGGACTGACCGGTATCCGGTGGCTGGGAGAAGCGGTCACCATGGGGTTAGGTGGCAGCTTGCACCAGAGGCTGGGAGAAAGGCAGAGGGACGGCACTGGCCAAAATGGTCTTGGCTCAAGGGAGGCTGAACTCTCCTCTGAACCTTTTCCTCTCCCTGCTCCTGGAAGGGTTTCCAGGTTGTGTAGCCAGGTGACTGATAACTCGCTGCCTGTGTGTGAACAGGGGGCCGTGTGGCTGCAAAGGTTCGCTGAGAGCATTGTGGCTGGGAGGGGCACCACACAATCCTTCCCAGGAGTCTGCCTGGGCCGGAGCCAGGGGGAGAACTGGGGACTGCTGCAGGTCCGTGGGTCCCAGCCTGCTGACGGGATGACTCTCCAGGGACTGTACAAGCGGGGGTGTAGGCCAGGACACTTATCCAGGCATGCCTTGCTGGTCCCCCCAGCAGATACCCAGGCTCTGTCTGTCTCTGCTTCGGCGGTGCACAGTGTCTGCGCTTGGGTGTGTTAATGTAAATGTCAGCCCTGTCTCTGGCCTGCATGGAGCCCCTGAGTCTGGTGGTCTAGGCCAGTCTCCCGCCAGCCAGAGCGCGCCTCTCTGCTTGCCTGGCCCAGGGTGGGACAGGGCCTAGGGGAGCAGGCTGGGGGACAGGGCTGCCCACAGCTACACACGCTGGGCCAGCTGCAGCCGAGATGCCAGGCTGTGCCCAGGGGCTCCCCCCTCCCCCGG